TTTTGGGTGAACTATCCCTTTAATGTTTTTATTATTATTATTATTATTATTGTTATTATTATTATTAATTAAATGATACTCTAAATAAGAAACTAAATCTGCCAGGAGGTGGTGGTAAATGTCTTCAGTCGGTTCGTTCAAACGGCTGATTCATTCAGAAACTGAACACGCTGTGCTGCTCGGAGACGCGCATCAGTTCTGTTGTGACTTTAAAGGTAATATATTCTTTGCAAAATTGAGCAAAAACACATAATATCGTGTTTAAAATATAACACGATATCAGCTTCTTACTGAACTGTTGTATAAAATTGCATTTAAACTCGTGATATTCGGGTCAAAAACAGCACTCGTGTAATAGCCTACTGCTCTCCCTGCTTGTGTGATATCGATATTGTATGATATAAATGATACAAAAACACATATGGGGCATTTTTTGCACCAATATCTTGAATTTTAGGGCATAACTGCATTTATGGAGTTGTTGCCCTGCATCATCCCACATAGCAAATTTTTTCTGGCCCAGCTCCAGGCCACACAATCACTTTTCCCTCGGCCCAAGTGCCGCAAAGAATGACGGCCCTGAAGTGGCCCAGAACTGGATTAAAGACAAGGGCCCTGAACTGGGCCAAAACAGGTTTTATTATTGGTGCCAATTCTCAGCCTTAAGTAAACCAGAATCCCCAAATCTGAGCCACACCTGGGCCTTATATAGCCCAGACCCAATACAGAATCGTAATATTTGATATTATTGCATTGTGTATTACTATAATCGCCATTATTCATTTTGTGAAATTAATGTACACACAAACTATACCAATAAAGTACATTAAACTGAATAGAAAATCAGCCTTAAAATCCACAAATCATTTAACTGTTCAATAAAAAACGTATTGCATTGAATTGTTTTTTTTTATAAAGAACAAATCAACCAATAAAGAGTGAGTGTATAAAGTATGCAGTCTATAAGAGAAACGTAGCAGACAGACACATGTAATCATAAGAATATATTGCAGATGTGACAAAGAGCAGTACCACAGTAGTCCAAATGACAATACATTGCAGTTGCAGCCTCTCTGGCAGAATATAATAGTTTAGTCCGAGGAGCAGGGCATAATTTAAGATGTTAAACGCTGAAAATACTGTCCCGATCCACTCCGTCAAGGCGCGTATTTCTTATTCAAAACGCGCATCACCGGAAACAGGGCATGTCGCAATCTATGACGAAACCGGCGAGAGCCAATGAGCGTTTGATATCGCTGCTGTAAAACTTCTTAACGGCACATTTTCAAATTATTACTATAGCTACAAAGGAAAGAGATACATATCGCCAATGAATGGTTTGAATTTGGATCTGTTCCTCACACAAAGCATCACATGGATACCGAGGATTTAAATAAAATACTTTAATGATCATTTTATTTAATGCTTGTGCATGACAGCATACTAATAAAACGATGTGCCCCATGGTAAACCAAATAAATATTACATGATAACGGTTAAAGGATCTCTCTCTCTCTCTCTCTCATGTAAGGATTCTAAGATTATTTGTACTGAGAATAATAACAAAATTTAATAAAATTATAATTAAGTGCCGTTTAATGCAGTTGATTTATTTACTGATTTGCTTAATTTTTAAATGATAATGTTTCATTCTGTTTTGACTTGCCATTTCAAAGATTACATTTAAACAATACTACACTTCATTAAAATGTATGTGATCATTTAACCATTAGCATGCAATATTGTATTTATCTTGTTTATCATGGGTCACATAATATGCTGTCAGATCACAATCCTGATTTGGGCCACATGATCACTGGACTGATCTGGACCACACTCCTCCCACCAGCAATCGGCCTTCATGTTTGCCGTGATCCACGCTGTGCCATCAGTGCCACACTTGGCCCAGCTCTGGCTAAAAGGGTACGTGCCCCATTGCCGACAGGAGGCCAGCAGTGCCAGCTTGAAACCACATTTGGGCCAAGACCGTTTGCTATGTGGGATTGTAACACAGTTCGTAGTCACGGGAAGAAGGCAAACATTTAAAGACAACTTTAATAATAAACAAACACAAAATAGTGCGACAGCCCCTCGCGGACG